CGTCTCGGGCGTGAAGGGCCGGTTTCAAAAGAACGGCGCCTGTATTTCTCAGCTTGTACTTGTTTAGAAAAAGAGGGCCTTGTCTTGCGCTGTCGCCAAGCGGGCCTCGGAAAATGGCGGCGCCGAGCCTATGGATTGGTTTCCTTGAAGTAGTGATACCGCTTTCAAAAGGGTACCCAAGGTGGTATACATCATTAAAACACACACACACAAAATATTTAAAAGCTAAAAACTGTTAAGTATATAGTACAAGGATTAGAATCAAGCAAAAACTATGCTAAACATGGGAAACGACACCAAGATCTGACCTGTAGATCTCAGAGCTCGCCTAGGGATTATATGGGAATATAAGGAATTTCGGGCTTTTTATTTTTATTTTAATCTTATTATTGTTTTTCAAAAGATGAAATTCTCGGAGATGCCCCCCCCCACACACACACACACACGTTTTTCCTCGGAAAGCTATTTTTGAGCACCATCCAGTCTTGACGTCCTGAAACATGCAAGGTCAGACTTGGACTGCATGCAGCACCTATTGGCTTGATTAGAAAGTGGCTTGCAGGCCATCGCTGTTCAGCTGGTTTCAGATCTTTCTTATTGGAGAAACTGATCCCAGACCACCTTTCCCTTCAGCCTTTGTAGCTGGAATGTAGCAGGTTGAAAATCCGTAGGATCCACGTATCCGCTGGGGATTAGTTCCAATCGCCATCCCCAGAGGCTGAAAAATGTGGATTGCAGCAAATTCTATTATGCCTAGCAGATTCTGTCATAGCATGGTTTGTGGCTCCCTCTCATGGCCAATTCTGGTATTCAATTGAAAAAACATTTCTCTAGTGAACACCATACTTAGGTAGCTTGGTCTTGGGCTCTCTCTAGTGTCCAGTTCTGGTAAGTTCATAAAAAATAGGTGTTTGGGGGATTTTTCTGTAATATTTTTAATATTTTCAGATTGCAGATAAGTGAATCAGTGGATACTGATCCTGCGGATAAGGGACCCTACCAATGCCACATTGTATTTTTGGTGCTGAAAATCTGTATGTGAAAATGGAATAGCAGTTAGGGATAGAGGTGGGTGTTGCAGTTTGAAAGAAACAAAGCCAATCAGCAATCATTGCGGAGAGGTATCTCTCCCCACCCCCTTTTGTGCAGTGTTCTGGGTTGACCAGTTTTCTGTTTTATTACTGGCATAGCCTGCTATTCTTGTGATGCACCATGGTTTCCCACCCTGCGTTACTTGCTTTCCAAGGTACAAATGATGAGACTATGACAGTATGAAAAATGATGATACTGTAAACGCTTTCTGATGTACCCATTGGGCTGTGAGTTTTATTCCAGAAGAAGCTTCACTAGGACAGTATCCAGTTTGAATTGCTCAGTATAAATCATGGCATGCATCTTCAGACATTTTGCATATTCAGTGGAACGTTTACCCTTAAAGATGTTCAACTGAAATTGTAAATGAGGTCGTTTGTTATTAGGAGCAAATCTATGTGAGTAACAATACTACCACTCCTTAAACATTTATTAGTGCACATTGGGCTCAGCTTGGAGACAATGAATGGGGTGAGATTTTTTTTTCCACCCATCACTTTGATTGTTTTCTGCAGAACTTGGAATCTGTAGCCCTTACATTATTTATTTATTTATTTTTTATTTATTTTTTATTTGGTTTATATACTACCCAACTGACAGCCAAGGCCACTGGATGGTTTAAAACAAATAACAAAAAATAACAGAGTAACAAAATAGCAACATTAATACATGGGGTGAAAATCAAAAATTATAAAGTGAAGAGGGTAAAATTATAATACAATAAATACAATTAAAAGCATAGAAAAATAAAACATGGAACATGGCAGTATGATAGAAGTTACATTATTGGACATTATGTGGCATGCATGTAGAATAACTATACAATACCTATAATAGAATATTAACATTTTTGTTTCCCTAGAACCTCCCTTTTTCTGTGGAAAACAAATGGCGTTTATTGGCAGTTTTCGCAATCGCCTGTGGTACTATCTCTACCCTCACAGTTGTTACAGCAAGAAACCTTGCTCTGAGGACAGCATGAGTGTGCTACAATAGTACGATGAGAGGTAATTATTACTTGGATTGAGTTCCAGTTATCTGAGTTTTATGACTTACTACCCTGTTTACCTGAAAATAAGAGCTAACCTGAAAATAAGCCCTAGTATGATTTTTCAGGATGCTTGTAATATAAGTCCTACCCCCAAAATAAGCCCCAGTTAAGTGAAACCCCACCCTCTGCCACCGTGCAGCACTATACAGCAACCAGAAGATGACATGACTGTATTTGAATAAATGTAGATTGTTGTACATGGAAAAAAATAAAACATCCCCTGAAAATAAACCCTAATGTGTTTTTGGATCAAAAAATAATATAAGACCCTGTCTTATTTTCAGAAAAACACGGTAGTATTTAGACTGCCTATTAGGGGGCAACATGGATTGTCTTAGAATCACTGTGGTAATATTGCATCCTTTTGTTTTAACATTAAATTGACTGCTACTCAGGAAGTGTGGTCTCTTTGGTGACATTTCAGCTGACTTTGGCCAAAATTCTTAAACCATGTTCATGTTAAGATGTGACATTACACTGGAATTCATCATTTAAGTACACTAGTAGGAAATTTTAGATTCCTCCATCTTGTAGCAATAGGATCTTTAGGCTGAAGTTCTCTTGTTCCTTTTTTCTCAGTGGTAGCAGAGCCACTGTCTTTTCAGTCTTACTATTTCCACAGTACTTCTTTCTGCTGCCTTATAATGTAACTGGTATAACAAGTTGATCTAAGTTTTGATGGAATATTTATATATAATTGGGATGGAATATTTGTAACAACTATGTACCTACTAAAGTGCCATTTACTAATGCTAAGGAAATTCTAGAAGAATAATTAGATATGTGATATAAATGTATAGTCAAGCTTATTGTACAGTGGTGCCTTGACTTACGAAAGCCTTGACTTACAAACACAAAAAGGCAGGGGGAAAGGGAAGGAAACTCAGATAGCTAACTAGGTGGCAACAAGGCTGCTTCTTTGTAGCTCTTTCGCCCCAGCAATTAGAGAGTGTGCGATCTGAGGAGGCTGCCTACAACGTATACTTTTTACTTTTTAAAAACTGTTTTGAGTATTTTTGCAGTATGGTTTTCGGCTGGGGGAGTTATGTTTCTGTGCTGTGATGGGTCTTGGGGGGTTTGTTTTTTGTGTTTTTCCCCCATTTCCAATTGGGGGGTTGGTTGCTTTTTGGAGTGTTTTTGCTTTGACTTACAAACTGTGCCTTGACATAAGAACAAAAAACAGCCGGAACGAATTAATCGGGTTTCAGTGCATTCCTATGGGAAATGCTGGTTTGACTTACGAATGTTTTGACTTACGAACACCGTTCCGGAATGGATGACGTTTGTAACTCAAGGGACCACTGTACTTAACTAAGTTGGGTGGGGTGGAACGTGGACTGAACCTTTCATATCTGTATGTACTCTTAAAAAACCACAAAGCTCTTGAACTTTAGCCTGGCTGCAGCATGGAAAATGCCAAGTTGTAAACTAGCATAATTTTTTTTCCAGTGGGAACACCTCACTGAATAAGAGAAGACATAGTAATTTGCTATTGTCTGTGTAAGCACTAGGTGGACATAAATTTGAACTTTTTTGGCATGGTCTAGACTTCAGTGTCAATCATAGATGAGTATAGATTTTTTTTAATATCATGTTATAAAAGAACCTTCTAGATAGACCCACCACAGACTTGGAATAGGGCAATAGTTTGCATACCAAAAGTCCCAGAATTTAAATCTCCACATTTGCAGTTGAAAGTGTCTCATGGGACCAATAATTAGAAATACAGTGGTGCCTCGCATAGCGACAATAATCGGTGCAGCAAAAATCCCTGCAAAGCTATTTTGTCACTATGCGATATTAAAAAGCCCATACGAATGCATTGAAACCCCCTCAATGTGTTCCTGTGGGCTTCAGACTCACCTTTAAGTGAAAATCCTCCATACGGTGGCCATTTTGCTGCCCGGTTAGCGAGGAGTCCGTCCCAGAAAACAGTTGGCAGCTTTTTTTTTATCCACGGCCATTTTGGAACCGCCAATCAGCTGTTAAAAAATCATTGCTTTGCGATGATCGGTAAGCGAAACGGTACCGATCATCGCAAAGCGATTTTTCCCCATAGGGAACATCGCAGTGTGATCACAAAAGCGATCGCAAAAAGTTAATCGCTATGCAATTTCGTTGTTAAGTGAGGCACCACTGTATTTTTCCCTACCAACTTGAATACCTGCTGCTAGGTAGAGAAGGTGGTACTGGTCTAGATGGTACAAATAGTCTGATCCAGTCTAAATCAACTAGCTACTTCTACCTTAAACATCTTATTTCACTGTGTAAACATTTTGTGAGCTATAGGTGTAACAAATAGTCATTTCACAAAAGTCCTGCTAATATTAGTAGATGAAAAGGTAGAAAATATTATTGCTCATTTCTAAGAACTTTTTGATTTCCCCTGACTAATATCTTTTTCTTTCAGATTGGAGGTAGAAGAGTACATCCTCTTTTTCCGTGAAACAAAAAATGTAACTGAAATGGATAACACAACATTTGTTTGTAAATAAAAGGTGGATTCTAAATATAAAGTGCTGTGGACTTTAATTGTGTTTGCCTCTTATTTTTACATTCATGTGCTTAGAGTTGTTTGTGTTAAATACATTGTAAACTATTCAGAGAGTGCTCTAGCACTATGGAGCAGTAAGTCAAAACAACAACATTGTGGACATGAATCTCTCAGCTGCTCTAGTCCACTCTGCTAAAGTTTCATTTGAAGATACCTTGCACACCTGACTAGGCTACAGAATTAAACTGATGTATTCCTTAGTTGCTCTCAGTACTTCTAAGTACCATAAGAAATCATAAATTCCAAGATTCTTTAGGATATGGCTTTGACAGTTAAAGTACAGTGGTGCCTCGCAAAATGATGAATTTGCTAGATGATGACTTTTTTTTGAGCAATGTTATGCTTCCCAAAATGATTGTTCCGATGGGGAATTTTCACTGGACAATGTTTAAGTCCTTGCCTTGCAAGACAGTTTTTTTCCCAACCCTGTTTCCCCCCCCCCCCATTGGAACACAATTACATTAGACCTACGTTTTTATCCCAAAAAAGTGGGGGAGAAAGTATGCTGCTGGCTTTCCAGTCTGCCTCCTGGAAAAACACTAACATACACTTTCTCCCCCACTTTTTTGGCATAAAAAAGGTAGATTATATATAATTAATGTGTTTTGATTGGGGGAAAACCATTTTGCAAAGCATTGCCAAAGGGGCTATGGTTGCAAATTTAAATGATAGAGAATAGTAAAAATGGCAAGAAACCAAAAGATTTAAAGAAACCATTAAAAAAAACAGGAAAATCATAAATGTAATCCCCCTATTAACATAAATTATACAAATGAGTTCCCCACATCTGGGGAAACCATAGGGATCAGCAACATACCCCGAGTACAATAGATGAGCTTCTCCCTAGCCAAACCACTTTTAGGACATGGTATTTCCCTTACAAGGTATGAGTTAGAATGGCCCTTGCCTCTCCTACCCCATTCTGTCCCCTAACCCCCCAAGTCATGGCGACCCCCTGGCTGTACCTCCCACTCAGTACAGGGCTGCATAGCCCCAGTCTTGCCAGAGGCCAAAAGAGCTCCTCTGTGTTTTGGGGTGCCCTGCAGGACCGCCATCAGAGGCTAAGTGTTCCTCCCACAATCCTCTAGTGCACAGGTATTAGCATAAAGCAGCAAGGGGTCCTGCCCACAATTAGCATAAGGTATTAGCATATGCTAATACCTGTGCACTAGAGGATTGTGGGAGGAACACTTAGCCTCTGATGGGGGTCCCACAGGGCACCCCAAAACACAGAGGAGCTCTTTTCAGGGTCACCATGACTTGGGGGGTTAGGGGACAGAATGGGGTGGGAGAGGCAAGGCCCATTCTAACTCATACTTCATATGGGAAATATGTTGTAAAAGTGGTTTTCTTAAGAGGACTTAACATTTTGAGACTATTTCCATTTGATAGTTTTAAAATAATGTTTGTTGTTTAGTGGGGTGTGACCCCATGGATCAGAGCACACCAGGCTTTCCTGTCTTCTTAAAATTAAAAACAACACAGAATCATTATTTTATTTAGATTTTGATTTGTAATGAGGAAGATAACAATCATGCACTATTGATTAACCATAGCAGACTTCTACATAGCAGATATGGCAAGATGCCTAAACAAAGTTAAGAAGGAATGATACTGCCCTAATAGATACTGAAGACTAAGGGCAGACATGCTTCAGACCTGATGGAACAACTTTAGTTTTATTCAGATCCCAAGATTCACTAACAAGAGACAATTTACCAGTTGTACTGATGACAGTGGTGGGGCTTTTGAGACAGAAGGAGCAGGATCTTTGGATCCTGCTATAAAAAATAAAATCTGAAGGTTTTGAACATTGTGCTTATGTCATATTAGATATTCCGCGGTCAAGATATTTAGAACTCTTAATTTTGTTTTAACTAAAAATAAACATAGATAAGGCAATCCCTTTGAAGCTGACAATACAGTATGTGGATACTCAGACCAATGAATTTAATCTGTATGCCTACCAAGATTTATAATGTCATTTACTAGGTGCTACTTTACTATGTATAGCTTGTACATGTCCAAGTGACCTTTTCAAGGCTGAGTGGAGTGCTAAGTTTGGTAAATGAGTTGTGTTCCCTCATTTGGCATGACAGATGTTTGATTTCCTTGGCATTTGCAGGAATGCACAATTACACCCAATCTTGCTTTGCCAGGAGGAAAGCTTTGCTATGCACATTAACCATCATTGCAAGATGATGAATCTGGCAGTCTATGTTGTCCTCATATAACTTTATCAATATTTGGGAAGCCATAAGCAGGGTGGAAAGGCTGCTCCTTCCTGACTTACTATGGTCTGGTTCAATCAGGATTTAAGGGGTTTTTCTGAATCAGCTTTCATTGCACCCGTCATAAATACAATAAATATGCAGTATTCTAGTTGTTTGCTCAGTAGAAGCTGAATTGGTTTGTGGGTACTGGCACAGATCTTTAATTGTCCCCAGACTGGATTCTTGCCAGGCAACACAAGGGAAAGCTTTGCTCAGGATTATTTTGTCATCCAATTATCTTAGGTGTACTGTATTTATTTTTATATACAGAGCACCTTATCCTAAAGATTCATGGTAAGTCACTACTACATTTATCATGTACTGCACATTTTCCTGACAACCCAGGCAACTGGCATGATCTGCTTCTCATTTGAAAAACAAAACAGTGTGAAATAAATAAAATAAATAAATAAGGGTAGATGTGCCAACCTGGCTGGTATTACAGAGATTGGGGTAGGTGAAGCTAGGTGCTGTTGGTCTTTCTCAGCTTTTGCCCACCTGGGTTCTCTGTGCAGCAGTACCCGAGACAATGCGGGAGAGAGCATTCCATCATCCTCACCAGGTGTTCACTCTCTGATGGGTCTGAATACATACATCTGAAAGAGGGTATACAGAACAGGGACTCTGCTGGTGTGCTGCCTCCCTTGCCGCACCAGTCTTCCTTCATGCCCCTTCAGAACAGCCAAATGGAATGGTAGCTGAACGTTTCTTCAGCTCTCTCAATGCAGCAGCCATCTTATTTATTTATTTAATATATATCCCGCCCATCTGGTCTATTCGACCACTCTGGTCTATTCCTTCACTACATATGAAAGCAGCAGCATAACTGAGAAGGGAAGAGGCTGCATTCCTCACCCACATCATCTCAACATCTGCTGCCTGAAGTAACAGGCTCCTTTTGCTGAATGGCTGAAAGGCCATCTAATCCAAATCTGTTTTAAAGATAACAATATATAAGAGAGAAGAGAGTGTTTGTGTTAGGTAGTGCAACAACCTGGAAGGTCAGAAGTGTTGTACAGTGGGGTCTTGACTTACGAACGGCTCGAGTTAAGAACATTTTGACTTAAGAACCACTCTCATAGGAAAATATTGACTTGACTTACATACTTAGATTTGAGTTAAGAACTGAAAAAAAACCATGTGGGAGGCAGGGAAAGTGCAAAATTTGAACTTTCAGTTAACTGTTGGCCAGTGAAAAGGGTGCCTGTCTGCTTCCTCTCTCCTCCCAGCGTTTAGAGAGTGGATTGGGAGACAGTCTTCGGACTGCCTGGTACTGTCCTGCCTGGACTGTATTTTCCCTGCGTTCCCTGAACCTTTCTTGACCTAAGAAAAAAAGAAACAAAATATCCCCCTCTAGTGGTCGTAGGCAGAATAGCAGCTTCCCATTAGTTTCTATGGACGGAAAAGAGCAGATACGGATCAAATGGTTTTCAATGCATTCCTATGGGAAATGCAGATTTGACCTGAGAACTTTTTGACTTGAGAACCGCCTTCCAATACGGATTAAGTTCTCAAGTCAAGACCCCACTGTACTGTATTTATGCTAGGTAAAGGTTCCCCTTGACATTTAGTCCAATCGTGTCCGACTCTAGGTCACTGTGCTCATCCTCGTTTCCAAGCCGTAGAGCCAGTGTTTGTCCATAGATGGTTTCTGTGGTCACATAGCCAGCACGACTAGATACGGAACGTCGTTTTACCTTCCCACCATGGTGGTACCTATTTATCTACTCCCATTTACATGCTTTCGAACTGCTAGGTTGGCGAGGAGCTGGGACAAAGCAACAGGAGCTCACTGCGTTGTGTGGATTCGCTCTTACGACTGCTGGTCTTCTGACCATACAGCCCAGAGGCTTCTGCAGTTTAACCCTCAGCGCCACTATGTTCCTAACATATTTCTGCTATATGACAGCTATGTATTCCTAAATGTAGATTTTATGTAAAATCTGAGTCCTGCTTGGTCCTCCTTTTGGTGATATGTAACTGTCCAGTCTGTCTCAAAATCCTTGAAAGGCAGCACAAACAAGAGGTTTATGGAGACTTCCTAGTGGGATGCCATCTCCGGCTGATGGAATTATGTTCAGCTTCATTAGTCACAAGCCCTGCCTGCTTAAGGCACAGGTATACTGTCTCTCTTTGTATGAGTGAACTCGGTAATAACTGCCTGTTATTGTTCTCATTTTTTGCTTTGCTCTGCTTTTTTCTCCCTTTAGTTTTGCTCACAGTGGGGAAGTTAATTGGTTTAGTATAAAAGTTCTTTGCCACACTCCCAATGAGAGATCAAATGAGCTGAAGAATAAAGAGGACATAGCTGTAATGTAATGGGGCATAGCTGTCAATGGCAAAACAGAACTGGAGACAGGCAACGAACAAATAGCAAAAGAACAGATCACCCTTCTGCTGTAGCCGCCCACTTCCCACTCCTTAAAAGGGAGCAACTGCCAGTGCTTACAACCTGTTGTTGTTGCCCCCACACTGCCGTGGTCACTGGTAGTGCAATTGCTGAAACAGGTGGTAGCAGCAGCAACAGCATTTAATATAGGCTTGCCATCAGCCAGCACTTTGTTTGTTTAGTCATTTAGTCGTGTCCAACTCTTCGTGACCCCATGGACCAGAGCATGCCAGGCCCTCCTGTCTTACACTGCCTCCCAGAATTGGGGTAAATTCATGTTGGTCACTTCAATGACACTGTCCAGCCATCTCATCCT